TTGAGAATGATGAGGGCAATGAATGAACAAATGTGCTTGACACAATGGATGGATGTATGGATTGTGATAAGAGTTGTATGAGTCCCTAATAAAACGATTGGGAAAAAACAAACAAACAAACAAAAACAGTGATGATATCATGAAATGCCTCATGACACGATGGACCTGGAAACCCTTATGCTAAAACCCTTTGCATCAAAAATAAAATAAACGTTTTGGGGCCAAATAAGTGGTTGCAACAGGGCACAAAATAAAGGCTCCTCATTGCAAACTAAATCAAGAGACTTGTCAAACACCAATCAATATTCAAATGACATTCAAGTCATTGTTAGGAGCAATGCTCATAGACAATGTGTCAGTTTTCTCATTTTATAAAATAGGAATGATATGCATATCTCGATGGTGCCTATAATTATTCTACTTTAGCAAAGACCTTACCTCTTTTTGAGAGATTTCACTGGATCATTTCATTGGCCAATGACATTTCACTGAGTAATTGGAAATGTTGTTAATCTCAAAGCAAGATCCATATTCATGAAACAAAATGTAGAATAAGCAACTGTTATGTTGGTTGTTATCATATGCTATATTAGTTGACTGAAATAACACATTTTAGTTACACATTTCTCACCTTCCTTTGCAGTATATTTTCCACATTGCCACATTCAAAGGTGTTATTTTAATTACTTTTTAAAATGGCTCATTCACCTTATTTTCTTCAATTGAATGTGGCCAATTGATCGATTGGCAGATGGTCCATGTAAGGCAGGAAAGGACAAGGCTCTGCCTTCATTATGTGAGGCTAGACACGAACAGCTCAGTCTGTATACTCACCAGAAGGGAAAAACGATAAGACGGCTGACAAAAAATATGGCGGAAAAGATGAAAAACAGGGTGTTACAGGTTTGGCTCCATCCAGCATAAGAAAACATTTTTGCAGCCTGGAAACAAAGAAATATTATTCAGGTCATTAAAGTGATATTAGCATAATATTTAAAAATAAATACTTATAAATTATCTTATATCTAGGATTTGTTTCCCAAAAATCTGGGAAGGGAGAAGAGCATGGGTGGAGAAATAGATGAAACAAGATTGCCCATATTACTAATTGCTCAAGCTGGATGGTGCCTCCACTGGCTCTGTTATGCTATTGTTTTGATCTCTTCATGTATGAGTGTGTTTAAATTGTTCTACAGCATAGAATTTAAGCAATATGTTCAAATAATTGAGAATCGTTCTTGCTTTTCACAAGAGCTACTAGCTAGCAGAATTAACTTTAGCATGTATTTTGTCTGTGCATTTATTTAATATCTCCATTTAACCCAGATAGCTGAATTTAAAAGCGATGAGTGAAACCCTAGTTTCAGCAAGGTATGCTTCCATCATGGAGGCTCTTCTAAGATAAATGAAAGAAAAGATCGAATCAGGAAGCAATTCCCAGAACTTGTTCTAGTTGAAATTGTACACACAACTATTTTCTAACTTACTTTATCCTAATCTATTTGCTTACATTATCAGTGTTTTATATATATAAAGAATTAAAGAAAAGGCTGTGTAATGAGGAGTTATTTAATACAGTTTTTCTATTACAATATCCAGGAAGGGCTAAGGTGGAAAGTCTCCGGCATGAGCAGGACTGAGGAGGAATCACTGGAGAGCAAATCATCTCTCTAAGTAGCGTAACCTAACTTGGGACATTTGATAACTGAAATCCATTCCAGAAACTCCAGACCCCTCCAGAACAAGAGAAATAATAATGATACTCCAGAAGGGTTCACAATCCATTCCCCATACTTTTCAGGGGAAGAGCTTCAATAGCGGAGAAAGAAGATATCAAACCTAGTGGGTGGGACGTGGGCCTGGGGGAAAGGCTAGAAGTTTAGAGACACTGAAATCGAGTGGGCAGCTGTTTGATGGGTCAGAGGCCAGGTCAAGGTGGTGAGTTAAAACTGTACATGCATAAGGAGAGGATCTCCTTAAGCCTTCCTACGATGGCAGAGTAGTACTTCTTTGTGCAAATGTATACACACAGTTTTTTCTGTGATGTGTAATGACCAAATACCAGACAGTAACTCCTCTTCTCTGCTAAGAATTCATCAAGATACTGTTAAAGTGGTGGGTCCTGGGTCTAAATTTCAGAATGTGGAAAAATTCGAGAAGATCAGGAGAATATATGAAGAAGGTAAATAGTCAGCTATAAGGAAGAATAGTGGATATTGAGGTTGTTTTCCTTTGTGGATAAAATGGTAAGAAATTACCCACAAGCTTAAAGAATATGAAAGATGAACAGGCCCTATCTTGACTAGATGAACACACACTAAAACAAACTGCCCAGGAAGCTGGGAATATGCCTCGCTGGAAAATGTGAAAAAGTGGGCCTAATGCCACTAATTCATGTTGTCTCTACCAGGCACTAGTCCTGATTATTGAACCTGAAATTCAGTCATGACTTGTGAATCAAGAATGGTTCATGACCACAAATAACATAAAATTGTTCTCACAGTTTACCCATGATATTTCATTTTTCTTGCTTTTCTCTAAAGACTCACAATATTTTTGAACAGTAATGAGTTAAACTTCACAATATACCGAATGGGTAGATATGATTTCTCAAGCTACAGCTGTAGAGAGAAAAGCAAAGCAGTAAGTGATTTGTCCAAGCCGCGTAAGGAGTTATGTCATGTCAGTGACCAGGTGGGAGACGGTTGGCAGATGTGAATTGGCAGGGATTGCTAGTTCCCATCTGCAGACCTGACGTCCCTTCATAACACAATAAAGCTGCTTTTATAGTGGACACACCCAAAGGTAATAAAACTAGAGAGTTTAGAAGCAACAGAGTAACATATAATTCTTAAGATATGGGCAATGTGGTCTTAATTTTCAGGCAGGGGTACTGAGCTATGATCAGAAAAGGAGGTAGCAACAGATGGCTCAGAGAGTAGTAACTCATGGAAAAGCTGGTACAGCCTGACTTTTGCTAAACCATGTGGTGTCCTGAAGCTCATCTATGGGCTTGTTGCTCCCACCAAATAACCGGAACACGAATGAGGAGATTGGTTAGTTTTGTCATCCTGCTCGGCTTAAAATGATTCCTCCCAGAGGTGGAGAGTACGATCTCATTACCATCAAGAGAGAAGAATCAGGAATTCCTTTGAACCTGAGATCCTTGCACCGAATCTCCTTGATGCAGGAGACAGAGCTGTGCCACTGGAGGAGCAAACAGCAGCGGAGTTGGCAGAGGCAGTCAACATGCACAAGGCAGCGCAGTGGATTTCTTGGCCCATGAAGTTGACACCTGGCAGGAGGCCTTCTGGCAGAGTGGGGGGCTCTGGGCACTTGTACGGGGAGCTGGATGTGATCACCCTTGGGGCTAAACTGGAGTTACTTCAGGTTGAGGCTTGCCTGACTGGTAGAGCGAAACAACTTTAAAGTACTTGCCTAAGCAGGGCAGAGGCGGAGTAATCAAGAGGGCTAAGGCCGGAAAGACATATGCCTTGCCTGCGGGAGCAGCGGGGAAGAGGATTCCTTATTGAAGAAATGTACTCTGAGTCATCTCTGATCCTGAATTGTAACCTGCTAGTATTAGAGTTTTATTAGGTAAACACCATCATCAGGAATATTGTCTGTGAGTCATATGTGGCCATTGCAATCAATCACTGACTCCATCAGAGAAGTAAAGAGGATGTGGGAGGGACGATTTGTGTCAGAGTTGCAGGGCGGTTGGAAGAGGAGACATGTCCGACCTCTACCTCAGCGGAACCAGCCCTTGGCTGATACTGATGATCTCTGCCCCCCGTGTCCTTCGTACGTTAGAACACTTCCGATCTTCACTTTTACATGCAGCTTCAGGAGAACGCCGTTTTCATTTTCTCGGTTCAAAAAAACATTCTAATTCCCTCTCACCCCTTAGAATAAAAATGTTTTTCTTTAAAAAAAAAATCACTTCTCGTTTCTTATAAGAGTATCTTGAGCTAGAGGAGAATCAATGGGGTGGGGAGGGAGCAGGCAATACAAGTATCTAGTGGCTCTTCAAGCACTGGGCTAAAAGAATGTAATGCGCATTCCAACTGTGGGAGTCCATACTGCCTATATTCAAGTTTTCCTTCTAAAAGACTAAAGTTCATTCTTTCCTCCAATAATCATGTTTCTTCCTGAGCAAACATTTAACTTACATACATGGAATCCTCCAAATTAACTTCTCTTTCATACGATGGTTACGCTTGGCAAAAAATTTTTTTAAGTTTCATTTTTTTAATCTTGAAGGAAATGGGTACCCAGGGACATTCTCTGACTTTGGGTGTTTTCAGGACAGAGAGTGCTGCTAAGTTACCCACAGGGAATTCCTTCTGTGAAGAGTTACAGAAACACTGTCGTGGGTATTGTTATTATTTGTTAAATGGCAAATGCTGCTTTTACCTCAAGCCAAAAGTCAGCCACATCGTGCACAATCATCACGAGAGTCCCACTGCGAATGTAATTAGCACACCAGGAGAAGCTCATCAAACTAATAGCAGCCAGGTGATGGACGACATGAGCTAGATAATCCTGTATTGAAGGGAAAATGGAAACCATTAGTTTTTTTCCCAATCACTGAAGGACTAAAAATAATGTTAAAAAACAATAATTTCCATTCCATCTTGTTTGACTTTTATAAAATATGTTAACTTTAATTCTTAAAAATAATAATTGTGAGGGAGATACAAGTGTTTGCTTCATTGATGAGGTTATTTAACTTTAAAACAGCACTTGGTAGGTGTCATAAAACATTAAATCTGGTGTTCTTCCCAATGCTACATACTAGATATACAAACACACATATAATGTAAGCATACAAACAAGCATATTTCTGTATATATTATTCTCTGCCTAACTCCAAAAAATGAAAACAAACATATAATAAAACTATGTCATATTTTGCATATTTTTCTGTGTAGGGAAGTTGGGATGGGTGGCTTTATGAAAAGAGTTCGGAGTTAGGCTGAATTTTCTAGAGGAACAAAATCAATGGCACTGATTTAAGAAAGCACTTTATATTGAGAAAGACTTTGATATAAAAAAATGCCCAAACCAGTCCAACTCAAGTCCATGGGTCCAACGTTAGCTGGAACCCTCTGCAGACTCAGGCAGCTGCTGGTGGATGAAGCAGAAAGACAGCGTGGGAAGCTAGGATATCACAGGTGCAGAATCATGTGGATCAAGGTCCATAAGAACAGGGCAGGGCACCGCAATAGCTCCCAGGGTCAGCAGACCTCAGGGGCTGCCAACCATAGCACCAGACAAGCATCCCAGGCAAACAGGAAGCGAAAGGGACCAAGAGTGAGAGAAATGCTCCCTGACTCATAAAAAGGCCACATCTTCAAGAAGGCATCACCAGGCTAAGATATGATTGATAAGTTGGACTCTCTCCCTATCTCCACACAGGTACCATCAAGTTGATAGAAAATCTAATCACGGTTTCTAAAATTGATTGTAGTGATGGTTACACAACCTTGTGAATATACTAAATACCACTGAATTGTAAACTTTAAGTAGATAATTGTGGTATGTAAATTATATGTCAAGCTGTCAAAGAAATAAATGTAAATGAGTTTCTTGGAACTAAACCAAGAGAGTAAACATGATGCTTTAAATAATGATGCTTTAACTTACTGAGTACTTATTATACCAGGGGCTTCAAGAAGTTCATGAAAAAATCCCATTATCTTTTCATTCCATTTTTCCATGAACTTGTTGAAGTCCCTTAAAATACCAAGAAGTGCTTTATATGGATAAACTTAACCAGCTCTCACAACAACCTAAGGAAATAAGAAGTATTATTAAACTATATTTTAATATTAATATCTTAATGTTCAATTCCCAAACCAAAAGAAAGAAACAGACAATATAATGGAGCTTTACCATCTTATAAAAAAGAGTAGAGCTTAAAACTGTTTTCTATAATGTTTTACTATAAATATCTCCCCAGGCATCAAAGCATGACTGTATTTGCACTATTCTATGTCACACTCTAAAAACAAGGCATCCTGGTGGTACAATGGTTAAGTGCTTGGCTGCTATAACTGAAAGGGCATGGCTCCAACCACAATCTCTTTCCGGAGGAGAAAAGAACTGGGAATCTGCTCTCAGAAAGATTACTGCTTAGATTTTCAGAGCTTAAATTCTAAACATCTGGTTTGTGAAATGTTGTAAATGATAGAGGAAGCCCAAAGTCCCTTCGTGGATGGAGTCTCCAGTGAATCCCCTCTGACCATAGTGTAGGGATGTGAGCAGCCTTAATATCAGATAGAGAGGAATTTAAATTGGATTTTAGCCACTGTGATTAGGCTGAAATGTAACACTTTGTCATTTGATCTCCCTTTTGACACATTCTGAAGTTACTCCAGGTTTTAAATATTTTCTGCTTTCTTTTAAAGTGAGGTTTCTGTTTTACTTGGCCATTGTTTCTGGCTCCTTTTTTGCTGTTTTGTCTCTGTTTCATGTCTTTTTCTGTATGGAGACTTCAGAATGGTGGCTCTATGGAGACAGTAACTGAATTATTCATTATCAAGAGGCATAAAAGAGGAAGTTGAAAGAAAATGTGAAGTAAACTGTAATGAGTACAAGAAGGAATAAAATGTTCTAAACTTATTTGTGGTGATGTTGATTGCACAACTCTTAATGTGACTGAAGTATTGAATTATATGATATGTTAATTATACCTCAATAAAACGATTTTTCAAAAAGAATACTGCCTAGGAAATTCTATTAAGTAGTTTTATAGTCTTTATGAGTGTGGGTTAACCTGACAGCACACAACAACATTGCTACAAAAAGCAACAGCGACAACAACAAAAGAGCCATGAATGAAAGCAAACACATAAAACGCAATTTAGATTTCAGAATTTGGGGCAGAGGTTGAAATATTTTGAAGAAAGTATAAAATTAACTTTGTCAATCAGAAGACACTTACCTTCCTCTTGATATCAGTACCAAGGCTAAATAGCAGAGACCAGTAAAAACTCATCTCGAGAATGTAGTACCAGTACTGGGACGGCAGCAACGGCTGAGGAAAATGAATTATTCATGACTTTAGCTGTCGCCATGTGAGCAATTTATTTTAATGCATTAAAACTTATTCTTCATATCTGTTTATATTTCACATAATCCCATACAATAATGATGACTTATAGTCCAACTTCTAAAAAAGTAATTAGAGATGATTTTAAGCCATTTTGATTCTGATACGGTAAATAACTATTTAAAATTCCAGTTAAATGTTAATTAAACAGTTGTTTAAATGTTAATAAAACTACCACAGATGCAATCACCTTATTTTATTTATTAAGAGCTAAATTATAAAGATAATTTTAAAATCTTTACTTGAAATCAATGGCAGGTCTGCTGTGTTGGTCTGTTTTCCATGTTTAATAGTTGGTAAAAACTGCTCAAAATCTGATGTGCTAACCTCCTTTCTGTAATAGACTGGCAATCAGAAGCGGCTCATTCTCAAATGAGGCAGTAATAAAGTATGTACAATTAATTTTCTAAAAAGACACATTGTCATCAAGTTGATGACAACTCAAAGCAACCCTATAGGACAGAGTAGAACTGTCCCTGTGGGTTTCCGAGACTGTCACTCTCCACGTAGTGATTGGTAGTTTTGAACAGCTAATCTTGTGGTTAGCAGCCCAACATATAACCCGCTCCACCACTAGGGTTCTTATACAATTAATTAAAATCTCTAAAAGTCACTTGTAAAAAAATTAATTTCTAAAGCTAAATTTCCCTTAATAAATTTATAGATGGAGATAAAAGTGCTTCTTTTTGCTAAGTTGAGACATTATACTAATTGATATGATGTATTATTACATCAATGGCCTCTGATACCTCTGATACCTATCCCTTTATGTAGTATCCTCCACACTGAACCTAAGCTTGACCCTGAACATTGACCAAAGGGATTAAACAAATGTGATTCAAGAAGGTACTCATATATCTCATGTGAGAAAACTGCTGCAAAGACCTTCAGGAAGAGGATCAAGATGCCAACTGACAAACATATGAATAAGGGTACATGTGAAACAGACCTATCAACCAATTGACGAAAGATGGATAGATGGATTCAATAATACTACAGATAGAAGAACTGCTCAGCTAGCTAACCCCGACTATGCATCTATATTATGAGTCTTTGCTTAAGGAGCTAGATTTAGGGAAAGGTTTGCTACATATCAACAGATAGCTAAAAAAGTAAAAGTAAGTTGGAGATGAAAGATAACAGGATGAAGGTGTAGCCTATATGATGTCTAGGTCTCCTTGATGACCCAACTTTTTTTGTTTTTAAACATTTTATTAGGGGCTATACAACTGTTATCGCAATCCATACACACATCAATTGTGTAAAGCACATTTGTGCATCATTCTCAAAACATCTTCTCTCCACTTAAACCCCCGACATTAGGTCCTCATTTTTCCCCTCCCTCCCTGCTCCCCCCTCCCTCATGAGCCCTTGATAGTCTATAAATTGGTATTTTGTCATATCTTGCCCTGTCTGACGTCTCCCTTCACCCACTTTTCAGTTGTCTGTCCCCCA